GCACTCATGCACCGTGCGCTTCACTTTATGCATAAGCTCTCAAGTAGTTAACTCAAATATGATGGCAAAAACATGCGAGGTAAAGTGTTTAAGCTTTTAACTAGAACGACTCTTCAGCCTGCTTCCCTGCACTCCCTTCAGATCCTTTTATAAMCAGACCTGCATTTGTTGACCGTTGTGAAATATGTCCCACTCTCGATGCCCCCCCAGTTTCTCCACCTCCTCTCCTCTGTGGCCTTCAGTTTGATCACATCATTCTCCTCGACATCATCATCCTCATMATCAGTGCCATCATCCTCGTACGCCTTGCGGCCCTGACCCTTTATTCATTTTGGCGGGCATAAAGCTTTACGGACAGCTTTACAGGGGAATCCCACTGTCTAACCTCCACAAACGGAATACCAGATGGGCTCAGCTTTGTGTTTCATTTTATTAGCTCCCCTAAATCAATGCCTAACAAAGCATGAAGAGGAAAAGGGGCATTGATTTCATCTACCAGTGCCCCCCRAGTAGGCAAGGAGCGATCAGAGAGGGTAAAAGGGATGGAGTTGATCTGTTATGACTTTTCTGCAATTTCCTGCACAGGAAGCACAGAGATGAAGTGAGGCCAGACTATGAAAAGAGCAGCCAGTGGTGCTTTCTTTTCCCTGCTAAATCTTACATTTCACTCCAATTTGTCACAGATGGTTCCGTCTTTGTTCAGTGAAACTGTCTTGTTTTGTGCATGCATAACTAATCTGAACRGTCGTTTGCAGATCCAGGATCCTTTTAGGAAGCTCTTACTGGTATCRTGTTTCTAACATTCAGGTAGACACATGTACTCCATCCTTCATTAGTCATTATTGTTAATTTTATAGTAGAACTAAAGGACTTTTCTGCTTTCTGAGTATATTTGCTGTTTTCATTCAGTTCATGGCAATTGATATGGAAAGCAAATAGGCAACACTGTGAATCATTAATCCAAGTCACTTCGGTTATTCAAAACAATAAATAATTATGTTATTATATAGATTGTATTATAAATTATTGTATTAAATATGAAGTGGTAATCTAAAACTAGTTTGTTTTGGCAGTGGTAAGCACAGACACATCACAGCATCACAGTTTGGACCTGGTGTCTTTCTTTATGTACTACTTTTTTTGGTAGTTGATTTGTGTTTTAAAGGGGCAATATTATGTGTTTTTCAGGCATACATTTAAATACTATACCATAATCTATTTCACCTTTAGCTGTTATTAAAATGCTGTTTTTATGTTTAAATATAAAATAAACGCCTTGAAATTGGCCTCTGTCTCTTTAAGAACCACCTTCCGCTTCTTTCTCACCCATTTATGTGTGTGTGTGTGTGT